CATCCATCCATCCATCCATCCATCCATCCATCCATCCATCCATCCATCCATCCAATCTATCTATACTATCTATCCCAGCATGCTGGCTAGGGAATTCTGGGAGTTGAAAGCCCACACATCTTAAAGTGGCCAAGTTCAAAAACACTGATTTAGACTAACCAGCCTTAGTTAGCAGGTCCCAGAAAGAGAAACCCACCAAGTTCCACCATCTGACTAGGAAGCTGCTTCAGCCAAGATCTACCCTTCGTCCACCTTCTCGTGGTGCATCTCCTTGTGGTGCATGGATGAGGCTTACCTCTCGCAAAGGCTCATTAAGTTCCCCAAGGATGCTGTCCTCATCAAACATTTTGCCCTGGTAGCGATGTTCATAGTAGTCATGGATCTTTTGCCGGAAATCAGCAGGTAGTTTGTGGAAAGACATGTATTGTTCCACTTGTTTGTACTGCAAGAGGAAGAAGGTGGAGGTGAAATTAACTGGGAGACATTAAGAAGAACATCTCACTTGAGGAATACAAAGGGAAGGAAAATCAAACCAAGGAATAGAGATGGGTTTGTTGCATCCATCCAGTTGAAGTCCACCCATCTTAAAGTGGCCAAGGTTGAGAAACACTGCTGTAGAAAATCACGTAATCAGGGAGGGGAGTGGTCCGAGACCACTTGCTTCCAATGAGATTACATGAAACTCTCAGATCACTGCAAAACAGTGAGGATATGTCCAAAAAAGGAAAGGAGGGAGACTTGGTTTGGGGAAAAGTGGCAAGTCCACATCTGCTGTCCACATCTTCTTACTTATCCTGCCCAGACAGGTGTTGCCCCATCATTGGTGTTGTAATCCAAGGTGTGCTGTAGATTTCTCTAACTTTTTAAAAAATTGCCAACATCGTTTCAACACATGGCCCCCAGAATGGGGGTTTGCCATTAAACAACTGTGTATATAAAAGGAAATAAGAACAGCGATATTTGAATCAAAACTGCTGGAAGAGGTCCTGAAGAACCTTTATCCAACCCTTAGAGTTAACTTAGAGTCAATCACAGTGCTGGCAAATTAGACATAAAACCATTTTGAATATATGCAATACTACATTTGTTTCTCCCGAAGGTGCCACGAGGCTCTTCTGCTGCAAGAAATGGTTAACCACTTGGCCACATTTGGAACCGTCTTGAGCAGGGTTCCTCAACCTCAGCAACTTTAAGATGGGTGGACTTCAACTGCCAGCATGCTGGCTGAGGAATTCTGGGAGTTGAAGTCCACCCATCTTAAAGTTGCTGAGGTTGAGGAACCCTGGTCTTGAGAGAACGTTGGCTTCTTCGTGTCCTCTGAACTTGGTTGTTTTATCAGGCTAGGTATCATCATCAGGGCATGGAGGAGTGAAATTTGCTGGTAGTTTACATATTGTAGCTTGTCCTGTCTTGGTTGGGGTGTGGGTTCTTCCTTAATGGTTCCTTGATATGGGTATTGTTTCTTCCCTGATTGTTTATCTGTGCCGTTTCCTATTTCAATAGAAGAGAATCTCTGTAGCTCAGGGTTGAACCGTGGAGTCCTCGGTACTCTCTGAGCATGGTTTATTTAATTAATTTATTTATTAAATTTATATGCCGCCCATCTCCCCCAGATGGTTGTCGGCTTGCAGACATCTCACTACCCAACTAGGTAACATCAGTGCGAGGGAGTGTGGGGTGCTCCCTGTTTATGTACAGTAACTTGCCCTGCCAGATTTGGTGGGGGTATGGTTTTCTCCTTGGTAGTTTATTTGATTTCTATAGCCGTCCATCTCAACAAGTTCCTTAATTAGAGTACTGTTTTCTGCTTGATTGGTTAATCCCTGCTTATCTGGGTGTTGGCTGCTGGAGAGGAGGTGTTCTGGTCTTTTTGTTTCCTTCTCAGCTTTTTTTATTGTCTCTTTCAAATGGTGCGTAAATATGGCATATTTTTCTGTGTTGACTGATGGCTGATTTGTCTGAATGCCAAGCTTCCAGGAATTCCCTAGCGTTTTTGGATTTAGCTTGGTCACAGCTTCCCTATTTATCTGGGGAAGACGTGCTCTGGGAAGAGGCTGCTGGGGTGGATCAGGAGAGAGACAATATCCTCACCAAGGAACTATCGAGGAAGAAACCACATCCCAACCAATTCTGGCAAGAGAAGCACTGACTGATTGATTGATTGATTGATATGTCAAATTTATATGGCCGCCCATCTCACAAAAAAGTGACTTTGGGCGGCGTACAACAAAGCAAAAAACAATATTTACAAAACAATTAAGGCTGTTTCTGCTGTTCATTATATATAAACAGCCAGCAAAACCCACGGTCCCTTGCACTGATGATGTTACCTAGTCAGATAATGAAATGTCTGCTCAGAGAACACCAAGAACCTAACTGATCAACCCTAGGCTACATTGATTCTCTGCTATTTGACTGAACGGTCCAGAACGATAAGTCATGCAGGACCCAGCAGAGACCTTTCTATGAGCGATGATCATTCTGTGCCAATGCAAATGATCAAAACCCCCAATCAATCATACTCAGAGAAGGAGAAATGATAAAATGAGGTCAGAGGCAGAAGGGAAAGTGGCAAAGACTGCATTCATACAGAAAGGTAACAAACAGCTTTTCCCCAAAATTTTGAAATAGAGCCAAAAACTCTGCTCAGAGACTCTTTGGATTCTAGAGGGATAATGCTTTAATGTAATAGCTGCACAAGAAGAGAGCAGTTCTCTCTCTTTACTCTGTGGAAATTAATACAGGTAGTCCTTGCTTAATGACTACAACTGGCACTGGAATTAGGTTGCTAAGCAGTGCGGTCATTAAGTGAGCGACTGGCCTCAATTTTATGAACTTTTTTGTGGTGGTTGTTAAGCAAATCACACAGTCATTAAGTGAATCATGCGGTTCCCCATTGATTTTGCTTGCCAGAGCCCCCTGGGAAGGTCGCAAATGGCAATCACATGACCCCAGGACACTGCAACCGTTGTA